GAAAAAGATAAAAGACAAAAAAAAAAAAAAAAAGAAAATCCCAAGATATCTAGAACTAATAAATGAGTTTAGAAAGGACACAGGATACAAAGTCAACACACAAAAATCAATCATAATTTTATGTATCAGCAACAAACCATTAGAAATTGAAATGAACAAAATAATATCCTTTACAATAAGTGCCTCAAATATGAAATACTTCAGTATGAATATAAAAAAACAATAACACCAAGGTCAAGGGTTCAGATCCCCATACTGGTCAGCTGCCAAAAACCACAAAAAACAAACAAAACAAACATGTACAGGACTTGTATACTAAAAGCCATAAAACTTTTAGAAGACCTCAATAAATAGAGAGGCATACTGTATTCACGGATTCAAAGACTCACCAAATTCACCTATATATTTAACACAATTCCAGTTAAAATCCCAGAAGGATTTCTTTTTTTTGTAGATATAGACGAGGTTATTCTAAAATTTATATGGAAAGGCAAATGAACTAAAATAGACAAAATAATATTAAAAAATAATAAAATCGGAGGAATCACTACCCAGTTTTAAGACTTACTATAAAGCTATATTAATCAAGACAGTGTGCTATTGGTGAAGAACAGACACATAGATCAATTGAACAGAATAAAGTCCAGAAATAGACCTACAAAAATATTGCCAATTGATTTTTGACAAAAGTTGCAAAGGCAATTCAATGGAAAAAGATAGTCTTCTCAACAAGCTGTGTTAAAACAATTACACATCCATACGAAAAAAAAAAAAAAAACCCTCACAGTTCACACAGAAATGAACTAAAAATGGATGATTTGTTCTAAAATGTAAAATGTAAAACTATAAAAACTTTAAAAGAAAACAGGAGAAAACTGTCATGCATGTAGTTATTAGGCAAAGAGTTCTTTGACATGACACCAAAAGCATGACCATAAAAGATAAAAATTAAAGAAAATGTGAAAACTTTGCTCAGCAAAAGATGCTGTTAAAAGTATTAAAAGACGGTCCGGCCCGTGGCTCACTCGGGAGAGTGTGGTGCTGATAACACCAAGGCCCCGGGTTCGGATCCCATATAGGGATGGCCAGTTCGCTCACTGGCTGAGCGTGGTGCTGACAACACCAAGTCAAGGGTTATGATCCCCTTACCGGTCATCTATAAAAAAAAAAAAAAAGTATTAAAACACAAACTATAGACCAGGAAAAACTATTTGCAAACAAATATCTGAAAAGGACTTATATGTAGAATACATAAAGAACTCTCAAAGCACAACAGTCAATAAACAAACAAATCAATTAAAAAAATAGGAAAAAGACTATTCATGAACAGACAATACACCAAAGAGGATATATGAATGGCATGTAAGCACAAGAAAAAAATGTCCATCATTAATCATTTGGGAAATGCAAAGTAAAACTATGATGAGCTGCCACTATGCACCTATTAGAATGACTATAAAAATTACTGACAATCTATTATACAACATGGTGACTATAGTTAGTAACAATATATTGTATTTTTTTTTTTTTTTGTCCTTTTTGAGACCAGCCGCACCGTGCTCAGCCAGTGAGCACTATGAGTGCACTGGTCATCCCTATATAGGATCCGAACCCACGGCGGGAGCACTGCTGCACTCCCAGCGCTGCACTCTCCCGAGTGCGCCACGGGCTCAGCCCTATATTGTATTCTTGAAAATTACTGAGAGTAGATTTTAAGTGTTCTCACTACAAAAAAATGAAAGTTGTATGTAAATTTATGCATATGTTAATTAACTCACTTTAGCCATTCCACAATGTATACATATTTCAAAACAACATGGGTAAATAATAAATATATACAATTTTTATTTGTGAATTAAAAAAATAAATTTAAAAAATACTGACAATAGCAAGTGCTGGTAAGGAATGGAACAGCTACTCTCGAAAATGGTTTGACAGGGTCTTATAAATTTAAACCATATGACCCAGAAATCCCACTGCTAGGTATTTACACTATGGAAATAAAGATTTATGTTCATACAAAAAAACCTGTACACAAATGTTTACAGCAGCTCTATTTATAATCACGAAAAATTAGAACCAACCTAAATACTCTTTAAAGGGTGAATGGATAAACAAACTGTGATACATCCACACAATGAATATTGCTCAGCAATAAAAAGGAATGAATTATTGATATATGTAACATGCAACAACCTAGAAGCATCTCAAAGGCATTATGTTGAATAAAAGAAGCCATTCTCAAAAAATTACATACTATATTATTCCATTCATGTTATATACTCTAGAAGACATAACTACAGTGACAGAGAACAGACTGGTGGTTGCCAGGGACTGGGGATGGGTTTGGGTGTTACTACAAAAAGCATGAGAGATTTTAGGGTACAACTGTTCTCTATACACGTTAAAAATTCATAGAACTGGGGCCGGCCCGGTGGCGCACTGGATAGTGCGCCGCTTGGGAAGCGTGGCGGCGCTCCCGCCCGAGGGTTCGGATCCCACATACAGACCGGTTCCCGCTCACTGGCTGAGCGAGGCGCGGGGGCAACGCCGAGGGTTGCGGTGCCATTGCCGGTCCCGGTCCGGTGCGGGGGCGACACTGAGGGTTGCGATCCGTTGCCGGACACGGAAAAAGACAAAAAAAAAAAAAATTCATAGAACTGGGCTGGCTGGTTAGCTAAGTTGGTTAGAGCAGCCTTGTAACACCAAGGTCAAGGGTTTGGTTCCCTGCACCAGCCAGCCAACAACAAAAAAATTTCATAGATCTGTATACACACATATGCAAAAGTCATTTTGACTGCATGTTAATTCAAAAAATGAAAGTGAAAAACCCAGAGTTGCAAGTCTAAATCAAATTGTTAAAAAATAAAACTAACTTATTTTCATAATTTTCAGTTTCATTTTGTAAGATAAAATCCCAGTCGAGGCTAGTTAGCTTGGTTGGCTACAGTGTGGTGCTGATAACACCAAGCAAGGTCTGGGGCTCAATCCTTATACAAGCCAGCCACCCAAAAAGAACAAAAAAATCCCAGTTGAGCACTTTTTCCACTATTAACAATAAAATTTTGATTCTTGTTTTATGTGGACTCATTTCAAGTAGTCTTTTTCATTACCTATTATCTTCCACTAAGCAAGACCTCCTCTATGTTAAAATATACATCAAAACCAAAAAAAAAAAAAGACTAGAAGGACACAAGCCAGAGTGTTAAATACATCAAGTTGTTTCTAGGTAACAAAATTGTTTTTGAGGGGGTAACAAGATTTTAAGTGACTCATTTTTTTTCTTTTCTAAATTTTCCAGAGTGGGCTTGTATTACTTTAATCATCAGTAGAAAAAAGGTAAAGAACCCTTGCAATCCAGGCCTAATAATGTTTTTTAAAGGAAAGTTTGGGGCTCTAGTCTGTTAAGCATGGAGAAGACAAGCAGATAGGAGGAGAGAAGTTAGGTGCCACAGAAAAGATTAGGAGACCTGCTGGTGTTGCTAGAGAAGGTAAGAAAACTGGCAACTCTTAGGAAGGGGAAGGCTAGCTCACCTGAGACTGTTTGAAAACATCCTTTCCAACCACATCTAGGTCTGAAGGGTCTTTGATGGAACTAACATACTCAGAAACAGCCTTGATGACCACATCACAGGGCGGAAGAACCAGCTGATGCGCTCGGACCTAGAAAAGGCAAGATGAGCAAAGGACACTGACATCAAAGATGGATCACTAAGAAATAGGGTGATGGGGGGTGAGATACATAATTCAAATTTAGTAAATCCACTGAGAGAGATAAAATACTTTCTTTAAAAATAATTTTCCGGTACTGGCCAGCCACCAAAAAAAATAAATAAATAAAATAATAATAATAATAATTTCCTCCTAATTTTAAGTACAGACCATTTGAAAAAGATCAAAAAGTATAAAGAGGTAAAAACATATCATCCATAATCCTCCTACAGAGATAACTACTGTTTTATGACACTGCCATAATTCATCAGTTTCCTTTCATGAGACCCTTTTGGTATTTAATACCAAAATTTAATACCAAATTTTTTTGGTATTAAAAGTATGTTGAAGAAAATATTTTTAAAAAGAATAATAAAAAGAAACAAACAAAAAAATAAAACAAAGAAATAAAAGAGAGAGAGAAAGAAAAAGTAATGTTGTAATGTGTGGACAATGTTTAGATCCTGATTTGAATTAACCACAGAAAGGCCTTTTTGAAACAATCAGGAAAATCTGAAAATAAACTGGATATTAAGATGACACCAAGAAATTAGTGTTAATTCAGTTAATTTTGTTAATGATGCCATTAGGCACCATGCATATGTAAGAAAATGCCCAAGTGTTTTAGAAATGCACACTGAAGAATATGGAAGTGAAAGGACTTGAGTTCCGGTGTTTGCTTTAAAATACATTATCAACAAAAACAACAAAACCCAGCAAGTGTGGCAAAATCTTGATAGCTGTTGGAACTGGAAGATGTTATAATGGTGAGCCTCTATATTATTATATTATTTTTCCTACTTTTTTGATGCTCAAAAAAAAATTTTTTTTTTTTTAAAAGATGACCGGTAAGGGGATCTTAACCCTTGACTTGGTGTTGTCAGCACCACGCTCAGCCAGTGAGCGAACCGGCCATCCCTATATGGGATCTGAACCCGGGGCCTTGGTGTTATCAGCACCGCACTCTACCGAGTGAGCCACGGGCCGGCCCGATGCTCAAAAATTTTAAAAAGAAAAAAAATTTTAATGCTATCATGAAATGTGGGTATGATCTGTTGCCCACTTTCTTTTTTTTTTTTTTCCTTTTTGTCTTTACTGACCGGTAACGGGATCGCAACCCTCGGTGTTGCGCCCACACAGTGCTCAGCCAGTGAGCGGGAACCGGTCTCCACATGGGATCCGAACCCTCGGCAGGAGCGCCGCTGTGCTCCCAAGCGGCACACTCTCCAGTGCGCCACCAGGCCGGCCCGCCCACTTTCCAATTATTTAATTACATGCTTCTTCAAACTGTAATTACTGAGTCAAAGGGTATAAACTTTTTAAAGCCTTTTGATATAGGCTGTTTTACCAAAAGGCTGTACCATTCATTCCTTTAACAAATATTTACTGCCTACTATGTGCCAGGCACCATCATAGGCACCAGGGACACAGCGGTGAACAAGAAAGACAAAAATTCCTGCTCTCACGGGAGCTTAAATTCTAGTGTAGGTTTTTCGAGACTGGGTGAGGGGAGTCAAATAAACCAAGTAAATAAGCAAAATTTATAGTGTGCTTGATGTAGATAAGTGCTATGGCGAAAATGTAAGTAGAGAAGGGGCTAGGGAATGCAAGTAGGCATATGGTGTTTGTGTGGGTGCACATGTGCATATAATTTTAAATAAGGTGATCAGAAAAGGCCTCACTGAGATAATGACATTTAAGGAAACCTTTAGGAGTGAGGAAATAGCTATGTGGGGGGAAAAAGCATTCCAAGGAGAGGGAATGGCAAGTGCAAAGGTAAAGAAAATGTGGTATATGTGCACAATGGAATACTATTCAGTCATAAAAAAATAATAATAATGAAATCCTGTCATTTGCATCAACATGGATGAACCTGGAGGTCATTATGGTAAGTGAAGTGAGCCAGGCACAGAAACAAATACCATATGATCTCACTCGTATGTGGAATCTAAAAAAGCTCATCTCATAGAAGGAGAGAGTAGAGTTGTGGTTGCCAGAGACTGAGAGGGGATAGTCAATGGGTATAAAGTTACAGTTAGATAGGAGAAATAAGTTCTGGTGTGCTCTTGCGCAGAAGGGTGATTAAAATTGTGTGGTATACAAAATAGCTAGAAGAGAGGATTTTGAATGTTCTCACCACAAAGAAACAGTGAATGTTTGAGATGATAGAAATGTTAAATACCCTGATTTGATCATTACACAATATATACATTATCCAAACATCTCACTGTATCCCATAAATAGGTACAATAATTATGTGTCAATAAATAAAATTTAAAACAGAAAGAAAAGAAAGATGAGATCAGAGATATAACAGGGGGCCAGACAGCATAGGGCTTTGCAGGCATGGTAAGGACTGGGTAAGTGATGTGAAGAGCCACTGGAGGATTTTGAATAGAGAAGTAACATGATCTGAATCAGTTTTTTTTTTTTTTTTTCCTCTCAGGATCACTGCTGTTATATTGAGAACAGCTGGAGGTGGGGAGAGAGTATAAGCAGAAGACCAACAGTTAGTAAGCTAATATAATAATCTAGGCAAGAAATAATGGTGGCTTGACCTGGGCAGTTGCAGTAAAAATGGTGTGAAATGGATATATTTTGAAGGGAGAGCTGATGGGATTTGCTGACAGGTGAGATGTGGGGTGTGACAAAGACAGACAGAAGTCAGGATGGCCCCAAGGTTTTTAGCCTGAGAAACTGGAAGGATAAAGTTGCTAATGAAAATGAGGAAGGCTGTGGAGAGGAGCAGGTTTAGGAGAAAGATTTGGAGTTTCTATTTGGATATATTAGTTTGAGATGCCTATTAGATATGTAAATGAAGATGTTTAGTAGGCAGTTAGATATTAGAGTCTGGAGTTCTGGGAGAAGTCAGAGCTGGATACATAAATTTAGGAGTCATAAATGGACAGATAGTATTTAAAGTCATGAGTCTAGGGCTGGCTAGCTGGCTCATTTGGTTACAGCTTGATGTTATAAGACCAAGGTCAAGGGTTTGGATCTCTATACCAGACAGCCACCAAAAATAAAAACAAAAATCAAACAAAAAAAGAACAACAACAACAAAAAAAAGAAAATAAAGTCATGAGACTGGATAAGATCAATCATGTGTGTAGACAGAATAGAGAAGGGAACCAGGATGGAACTCTGGTACACTCCACAGTTGAGAAGTTAAGGGCTGACCAGTTAGCTCAGTTGGTTACAGCGTGGTGTCATAACACCAAGGTCAAGCGTTTGGACTCCCATACTGGCCAGCTGCATGCCCCCCCTCAAAAAAAAAGGAAAAAAAAAGAAGAGGACAAGGAAGTAGCAAAGGAGCTTGAGAAGCAGCAGTCAGCAAGGTAGGAGGAAACCAGGAGAGAGTGTTGCCCGTAAAGCCAAGGAACGGGGTAAGCAACTGTGTCAAATGCCGATTGGTCAAATAAAATGAAAACTGAGAGCTGGGCCCTGAGTTTATTAACTTGAAGGTCATTGATGACCTTGTCAAGGGCAATTTCAGCAAATCAGATTGAAGAGAGAACAGAGGAAGAGGACAGTAAGTAGCTCAAAGCATAGACAACTCTTTAGAGGAGTTTGCTTAAGAAGAAATATGGAGCAGCAGCTTGGGTAGGAGAAGTGAGGTCAAGAGTGTATCATTTTTATAATGACCATGCATGATAGTATTATCGTCCCCACTTTATAGATAAGAAAACTGAGATTTTATTTTTTTTAAGATGGATGCATGCTTATACATCTGATGGGAAAGAGCCAATGAAGAGAAGAAAACTGATGATGCAGGAGAAAGACGGGGAGAATTGCTGAGCTGATGCCCTTAAGTTGGTAAGAGGGGATGGGATCTAATGTAAGTGGGGGGACAGGTCACCCACAGTTAAGAGGCAGGCAGAACATGTGGGCACAAAGATACATGCAGGTGAGATGAAGAGGGGGTGGGAGCTTATGAAAGTCCTCTTCCCATTTCTTCCATTTTCTCAGTGAAATAGGAAGGTCATGAACTGAGAGTAAGCAAATGAAGAAAAGGTATTAGAGGCTTGAGAAGAGACGAGAAGGTATAAAACAGTTGTTTAGGAGAGCAAAAAACTAGGGAAATATAATACAAATCACCAACTTACACTACCACCAGAAGCTTATGTGGGTATCGGTCTTGCCATAGCCATGATAGTAGTGGGTAGAATTTTTCAATATTTGCTAAACTGTTAACAAAAATCACACTGCTCATTTAGTTTACATGTCTTATCACTAGTGAGGTTGAACATCTGATCATATTATTGGCCACTGTATTTCCTCTTTTGTGAATTTTCTATTCCTGTCCTTTGCTCATTATTTCATTACTGGGGTATTAGTATTTTTCTTTATAACTTTGGAAGAATTCTTAAGATATTAAGGGTATTGATCATAACAAATTTTTATCTCTAAGTATGTGAAATATTTCAAATCTAATGAAAGATTATTATTCATTCAAAACTCCCATCAAAACCTGATGTTCCCTAATCTGTATAGGCAGGAAATGGGGCACATTACCTTAAGTGATGCAAGAGGATGTTCTGGTCCCAAGAGGCTCCAGTGAAAAGCAGCCAGGTCCTCATCTGGGAGAATGTGGTTACCTACAAAGTACATTTGTCATTTATTGACTGTACAAATGTTTTCTTAGAATCTCCAGGCCATGAAAGGGGTCCTGGGAGAGAAAATGATCAAATAATTCGCATAGGTCTATATGCTTAATGTAATAATTGCAGTAGTAATAAATACAGTTGATTACCTACTATGGATCACATGCATTATATGTATCATCTTTATAATGATGGTACATGATAGTATTATTGTCCCCATTTTATAGATAAGAAAACTGAGGTTCAGACAAGTTTGGTGACTTGGCCCAAGGTAGGCTGGTTAATAAAGGCCCACACCAGGGCAAGAAGCTAGAACTGTCTGACTCCAAAGCCCATACTATTACCTATTATCACCTAATCATGCTGCTTTTATAATAGCAGCCTCCAATTACTGCTTGCCTAATAAGTGCTGGGCATTTTATATATCTCATTTCATTTAACCTTATCAAATAACACTATGAGGTATTATTATTCCCATTTCACAGATTAGGAAACTGAAACCAAGGAGGTGTGACTTTGGTGATTTGCTCAAGGTCTAATTCCAAAACTTGTGCTGACTCCATTAGATTATCCAAACTCATGTCCTTTGGGATTACAGAGCAGAGGTCACACCCAAGACAGGATATTAACCTTCATGTTGTCAGTACTTGAAAATCCAACTCAAAACATAACCAGCTCTCTGCAGTTTACTTTGAAATACTTCTTAAAAAAATATATTGATGGGGGCCGGCCCGGTGGCGCACTGCTACAGTGCGCCGCTTGGGAGCGTGGTGGCGCTCCCGCCGAGGGTTCGGATCCCACATACAGACTGGTTCCCGCTCACTGGCTGAGCGAGGTGCGGGAGCAACACCGAGGGTTGCGATCCCGTTGCCGGTCCCGGTCCGGTACGGGGGCGACACTGAGGGTTGCGATCCGTTGCCGGACACGGAAAAAGACAAAAAAAAGGAAAAAAAAAAATATATATATATTGATGGATGGATAGAGGAATGAATAGATATATGATAAAGCAAGCAGTCATGCACTGCACAATGACGTTTCATTCAACGACAAACCACATATACAACAGTGGTCCCATAAGATTATAATGGGGCTAAATAATTTATTCTATGTTTAGATACACAAATACCTACCATTGTGTTACAACTGCCCACTGTATTCAATACAGTAACATGCTGTACAGATTTGTAGCCTAGGACAACAGGCTATACCATATAGGCTAGGTGTGGAGTAGTCTGTACCATCTAGGTTTGTGTAAATACACTCTATGATGTTCATACAACAACAAAATCATTTAACGGTGCATTTCTCAGAATGTATCCCCATTGTTAAGTGACATATGACTGTATAGTAAAATATCAGTGGCAGAACATAGGTAGTGGATATAGGGTTTTCACTGCAAAATTCTTTTAATTTTGCTGTATGCTTAAAATTTTTCAAAATAAAATATTAGTATAAAAGAAACTAAGAGAAAAACATAATGAACAATTTGTGTTCCTGATCTAAATTTAAACACTGGAGAAGAAATGCTAATGCTCTGAGTGGGGAACCGAAATTGTCTAGGGCTGGCAAAACATTTGGCCTAAAATGGTACTCTGCATAAGACAGGTATAAATCGTAGCAAAAGAAAAAGTTTTACAAGAGTCGAAATAATGTTTTGGAATATCCTGTAGCACTCCATAAGACAAACATGCTCAGTTTTAGTTTGGTCTACTAATAAGCCTCCAAAAGCCTGCTGGTTCTCCCCAGGGCAGTTTGGCATGAGGACTTTAAAAAGATAAATCCAATGAAAGGCTAAATCACTCAGGTCCTCATCTCTTAACACTGAATAGGAAATTTACCAACCACTGGATGGTAGTCTTTGGACTACCTACCTAGCAGTGCAGCAAATATGGGAAAATTCATCCGCTTTAGGCCCAGTTGCTTGGCCACCTCCTGCATCAGGAACTGGTTGGTAGTGAGGTTCTTCCCATTCCAGCTCAGCTTCAGAGCATGGGAACTGTAGTAAGAGGGAATATTGTAGAGAGCATACTCGGAGTCATGGGCAAGAAGGCCATGGAAGCCATTTTCCCTGAAAAAAGCCACCACTTCCAAATGGTGGTCTTCAAGGCTCTGAAAGACCTAGGAGAGAAGAAGAGAAGAATATGTCATGCCACAGAAGCTGATCTGAATTTTGTTAGAAGTCAGGAAGGTTAGTAACTAAATTTTATAGTTTGGTGAAATTTAAGATTATATGTGGCTGAACACAACATCCTTTAAAAAAAAAAAAAAAAACACAAAAAACAAAAACTCTCTCCCAGCATAGAATCTGATTATTTCTACAAACACAGTTTTATACATGTGTTCATTAAAATACCCTATCGTTTTTGACTCTTTTCATGTAATTTGGCCTGAGACTCTTCAAAATTGGAATATTGAAATTAATATGGTATATATTACTTTAAGTTTTTACTTCAAACAATAACAGAAGATAACTTTGTTAGAAAGATAATAAAACTATTATGAATATTTATTGCTCAGCATCTACTATGTGGTATGCATATTTTATATACATTTCTCATCAGGAGAACAACCACGGCAAGGTACATAAAGATGAAAAGACTTAGATGTGGAAATATACACAGAAATCTTTTTAAAAAGTCCTCCTTGCTTTTTTTCTTAGGAGTACCTTAGACCGCAGGGCACCCAACTAGGGCACTTCCAACAGACAGAGGTTAGTAACTTCACCCCATTTTAGAAACAGGGAAACTAAGGCTGCATAAGGTTGGCTCCTCCCAAAGTTGCATAATGAGTGATAGACAGGATTCAAACCCAGACTGATCTGACTCCAGAATGCACACTTTCTATTGTACCAGGCTTTATCCTGGAGAGCAGTATTTTTTATGTAATAGAGGCAGACTGTTAAGTACCCTTCCTGTATACGCCCTATTGCTGCACTTGAAGCATACTGAAATTATCTGTGTACTAGTATCACCAGAGTAAGTTCCTTGACTGGAGAGACTTTATCTCTGTATTACTGGCTCCCTCATAAGACCTGGTACATTGTAATATTAATAATAATGGCTAAAGGATACTGAATATGTACTATGTGCTAAGCAATGTTTCAAATACTTTATATGCATTAACTCATTTAATACAACAACCTTATGAAGCCATAACTATTATTATTTTCCCCATTTTATATTATTATCTCCAAGGCCATGTGGCTTGAAGGAGCAAAGCCCAGATTCTGGTTCTAGAGCCTGTGGACCTTGATAATTTTGTTGAATTCAACTGACCTATTTTTCATTTAGGTTGTAAAGGAATGATAGTTTTTAGAGTCTAACAGGAGTTTCAATGCATTAAACTTTTGCTAAGCTATGGAAAAAGAGTCTAGTCACAATTGATAGTCATGTCACACATTAGGTCACACAAGGAGAGGGACACTGGTAAGCAGATAGTGAAGCAAGGCTGTATTTGTCTGATATCCAGGCAAAGGAACCAAAAAGTATCACAACATACTTACGCCTAGAGTTATGATTTACTCCTGATGTGTCAGGGTAGGAGTGTAGTTTTATGTCGTCCCCTGGTGATAGTTTCTTCCAGCATACCTCTCATACAAGTCGCTGTTGAGGTCCATCTACCTTCTACTAAGCATAGTACTAAGTGTGACATGTTATCTCCCATCATCACAAACTGACTATGTAGGCATTATAAGCCCCATTTTACAGATGAGTAAACTGAGGCACCGAGAAGTAAGGTTCCATGCTCAGAGCCACAGAGCTGGGAGGAAATAGCAACCTGGGTTAGACTGACACCAAAGTCCACGCTCTTTTCACTATATAACAAATAACCTTTAGCTGGTCTGAAGTGACTATGCCATCACCCAAGTGATTTCAACTCCAGAAAGCCAAGAACTAGTGATTTTTAACTATCTGGTGGCTCTTAAAACACTAATAATATAAATCACAATCCCTGTGAGAGTTTTTTCAAACTACAATCCTGGGCCTCACCTCAGATCTTCTGAAAAAATTTCCTGAGTGTGATCCAAACACCTATATTTCAAAATAGTTTCCAGTAGGTTCTGATGCACACCCCAGCTAAGAACCACTGAATTAATCCAATTACTCATTTTACTGCTTAGGTTACTGAGGCCTAGAGAGAAAAAATTACTTGACGTGGTTAGCTAGCTAATTTGTAGCAGAACCAAGATTAGGACAAAAGTCTCATGATTCCAGGTACAGGGCTTCTTTCACTACATATTCTGGAGTAGATAATGGAAAACAATAGAATAAGAATCTCATGAATCTCTTAAAATTCCCCAACATCCCACTCCTACAAGACTAGTTTCCTAACTACCTGTTTCCAAGATTACCCCTGCTTCCCTGTCTTTGCTCACTTGGTTTCCCTACCTAGAATGCCTTACTACCTCTTTCCCAATGTTCCAAATACTTTCCATAGGCCTACCACCTCTTAGATAAATTCTTTGATAATTTCCCTCCTCTTCACTCTTATAGCACTGAGACAGATTACACAGTAGCAGAACTAATTTGACAATACCATCATTTCCAAGTTTTAATATCAAAGGTTCTATCTTACTCTTGTGTGTATCCTCCATAGTCTTAATCATGTCCTTCCAAGGACAGAGAGTAAGGAGTTGACTCGTACAGAATAGTAAAGAAAGGCCTACTGAGGTTGTGAAAATGAAAAGCAGCCCTGGCAAATGAAAGGGCACCATCACTTCAGCATTTGACTTCTACATCAGATGTATTGAAGTCACTGGGAAAAAAGTCTACCTGGATTACAGGTTACCCACAGCTCAAATAGCAAAGTAATATTAGGTATCAATTAAGTACCTACTATGTACCAGGCACTGTTCAAAATCAACCTCACGTCCACTAACCTTGCAATAACATCATGAGGCATTATTATTCTCCACTTTACAAATAAGGAATCAATGAGGCTCTGAGGTTAGAGAACTTGACCCAAATCACACAGCTAAAAAGTGAAGCTAGCCAATAAGTACATAAAATGATGCTCAACATCATTAGTCATTACAGAAATGCCAATCAAAACCACAAAGAGAAACCAATTAATGCCAACTAGGATGACTATAATTTAAAAAATGGGAAATAGGGCCAGCCTGTGGCTCACTTGGGAGAGTGTGGTGCTGATAATACCAAGGCCACAGGTTCGGATCCCTACATAGGGATGGCTGGTTTGCTCACTTCTGAGAGCATGGTGCTGACACCACCAAGTCAAGGGTTAAGATCCCCTTACCGGTCATCTTTTTTTAAAAAAATTAAAAAATTAAAAAATAATAAATAAATAAATAATGGAAAATAACAAGTGTTGGCAAGGATGTAGAGAAATTGGAATCCTCATACATTGCTGGTGGGAATGTAAAATGGTGCAGCCACTTTGAAAAACAGTCTGGGAGGTCCTCAAATGATTAAACAGAGTTATCAAATGATCTAGCAGTTCCTCTCCTGGGTATATACCCAAGAGAACTGAAATGCTACATTCACATAAAAACTCGTACATGAATATTCATAGCAGCCTTATTCATAATAGCCAAAAAGTGGAAACAACCCAAACGCTCAACTAATGGATGGATTTTTAAAAATGTGGTATATCCATATAAGGGACTATTTATTACTTAGCCATATAAAGGAACAAAGTACGGATTCATGCTACAATGTGAATAAACCTTGAAAACATTATGCTCAGTGAAGTAAGCCAGTCACAAAAGACCACATATTGTCTGATTCCTTTTATATGAAATGTCCAGAATAGGTAAACCCATAGAGTTAGAAAAATAGATTAATGGCTGCCAGGGATTGGGGAGAAGAGGGAATGAGGAGTAACTGCTAGCAGGTACTGGGTTTCCTTTGGAGGTTATAAAAATGTTTTGGAATTAGATAGTGGTGATAGTTGCTCAACTCTATGAATATACTAAACCCTACTAAATTATATACTTTAAAATGGTAAATTTTATGGTATATAAATTATATCTCAATTTTTTAAAAGCAGAGCTGGGATCCAAATTCAGCTCTGTTGACAAAGCCCAAGCTCCCTAACCCTCAATTCAAGGTTTTTTTATTATGGAAAAATTTAAACATCCAAAGGTAAAGAGAATAGCTTACCTAATGAACCCCCATGACAGCATTACCCAGTTTCAACTATTACTAACAATGTCATTTTTGTTTCATCTACCTTGCCCCTCTCTTTTAATGGTATTTTTGATATATTTCTATGGAAATTAAAGAAACACATAAATTTACCATCGTAACCATTTTTAAGTGTACAGTTAAGGATATTCACATTGTTCTGCAACATATCTCCAGAACTTCTTCATCTTGCAAATCTGAAACTCCATAGCTATTAAACAACTCTCCTTTCCCCCTTCCCCAGCCCCTGGCAACCACCATTCTACTTTCTGTTTCTGAGTTTGACTACTCCAGATACCTCACATAAGTGGAATCATATAGTCTTTTGTCCTTTTGTGACTGGCTTATTTCACTGAGCATAATGTCCTTGAGGTTCATCCATATCATAGCATGTTAACAAGGTTTCTTTCCCTTTTTTTTTTTTTTCTTTTTTGTCTTTTTTCGTGACTGGCAACGGATCGCAACCCTCAGTGTCGCACCCGTACCGGACCGGGACCGGCAACGGAATCGCAACCCTCGGCGTTGCGCCCGCACCTCGCTCAGCCAGTGAGCGGCCGGTCTGTATGTGGGATCCGAACCCTCGGCAGGAGCATCGCCGCGCTCCCAAGCGGCTCACTGTAGCAATGCGCCACCGGGCCGGCCCCTACCTTTTAAGACTGAATAATATTCTGTTGAATGAATATACCACATTTTGTTTATCCATTCATCCTTGATGGGCATTTGGGTTGCTTCCAACTATTGGTTTTCACGAATAGTGCTGCTATGAACATGGGTGTGCAAATAATTCTTCCAGATCCTGCTTTCAATTCTTTTAGATATACACCCAGAAGTAGAATTGCTGGATCATATGGTAGTTCTATTTTTAATTTTTTGAGAAACCTGCATACATTTTCTATAGCAGTTGCATCATTTTACAACCTCACCAACAATGAACAAGGGTTCCAACTTCTCCACAACTTTGTTAACAATTTG